GAAAAAAAAAAAACAGACAGACATAGTTCCAAGCGTTCACCACAGTTCAGCTTGTTAAGTAATATTTAATCTGGCTTCAAAACAAAAATCATAAATAAAAAATTTCTTCGAATTTTTTCATTTCCGAAAAAAAGTGAACTGCTTTTTAGGTTCATCTTTTCTTTCCAGATTCTTCTCACCAAACATACTTCAAAGGGATAGATGCTTCTACAAAAAAATAAAAACAATAAATAACAATCAGTAAGTCTCGGAAAAAAAAACAACTTCAATCAGTTTCTTATGAAACAAACTAAATTCCCGCGTTAAATTAACTTGGATAACTGATCAAAAATAAAAGAAACGGAAGTAATTGATAGGCAAAATAACTCAGAGCAGCCAAAATACCTAGTTTTGCTGCCATCTTCATCAACAACATACCGTCGAACACACGTTGGATCCGCATGCACATAATAGTTACTGCACCAAAATTTGTGACTATATACATATTGCACTTAATGATGGCCTCCCACAAGAACTTGGAACCCCACGCACTAAACCTACTAGGGCCCTCGTAATCCATAGCACAATATGTTACACAACGAGAGACCCAATCAAAAATTTTCAGCCCCAATTACTGGAACTGCTAAATCCTCTGCGGTCCATTTCTAAGCAACGAATAGTAAGTTTTTTAACATTTCCAATGAACGCAGGTGTCAAAAAAAGCGCTGAATCATCCCTACCACAATAACTTCTTGCCAGTGCACTAAAGTTCAACGAAATTATGGTTCACACAATTTTTACACAAGTGGCCAAAGCCATGCGATAAAACTGTTGATTAAATTGGCCTGAGAAATTTTTCGCATCAACTTTCAACCACTCCTGTACTAATATTGCCATCGAGACAATTTTCACGAATACATGAATAACACCAACAATAAAACCACCAATTACGCAACACTGTAACAAATAAAAGAAAAAGATTATACACCTTAAGAACCGAGAGAAGACACTGAATGAAGTACCAACTCTTCAAAAAAAGCTCAAAAATGGCGAAATAAATACAAAAAAACTCTACAGATTTCAGTGGAATTGCGCGTAAAAGTTCAACCCTCTACATTTTCCCACTACCAATCTACCTTAACTTTTGATTCTGGAGTTCTCGACCCAGACCCAGCCCTGTCAACTTGTGGAAGTTTCAAACTCACTCTGTTCACTTTTTGTTCAGTTTCTACCTTCTCGTTCTAAAGGTTGGTTTTAATCCTTACGGCATAATACCGCTTTGTTGGTGACTGGCGGTGTGATAGAAAGTTGCCTTGTCTTTAATTGAAACTCGCTAAGTTCAGCTCCTCCGCAGCCTCCTTCTCGATACCCTGAAGGTCTCTGCAATTGTAGTTTTGCTGATAGTCAAAGTCCTTCCATAGAGCACGCCCCCTGACAAAAACAATGAATAAAAACTGCTGCGCAAACAAAATGCCACAGTTCACATTCAGATTACCGTCCACAACTACCGGTTGCTTCACGTAGACAAATTCAAGTAAAGTCGCAGTACAAAGCCACGGATAAAACACATCTTTCCGACGCTCATAAACAAGAACATTTTTTACGTCTCCTTCAACGGCTTCTTCTGTCATACCACCAACCAATACTACACAGCTAAAGTGCAGTAATTATAAAGCTGCTTTTCAAAAAACCTAAGATGTTCAGGAAACCTGGAAACTTTAAGTAGGAAGTTCGAGTAAGGAGTAGGTCCGAACTCTCTGGACTTCTCAAACTGCTGTCATCCACTATCCACTATACTGCACACCACACATGAAACTGCGCAATACATTTGGGATTTAAAAAAAACTGTAGGATTAAATTATCATAAAACTGGCAAGGAATGCAGCGACAAGCCCGAAAATATACATCGGAATCACAAACTATATTAATAAGGTGGGTTAACAGTAAAAAAACATGCTTGAGGGTAGCTAAGCTTATCTGCAGCAACGCTTAAAACCTTTCAAAAAAACGTGTTTTTGGAGAGAGAAAAAACCCTTTACGGACTCCCATCAAACCCTTCTTCTGTACTCAAAAATCCCGCCCCCTCCTCACCCTCCACCTAGAAAAAGAAAAAAAAAAAGGATCAGAAAAACTGAACAAAGAAAGCACTTACACTCCGTGTCTTTCAAACCGCCAAGAGACCGACAATGAAGACCAACCACCCACGCCAATAATTCCGATTTTATGAGATTGTTCTGTGAAGACACTAAGTGCCAAACAAACGAAAGTCACTACAGAACCAAAATTCTACATGCGAATCAAAAAATTTTTAAAATTTGTTTTCTATAACAGCTTAATATTCTCCAAATCTGTTTTTTTCAAAATTTACAATGTGCAAATGAGTAGACATCTTCCATCTTTGAAGGACAGAATTTGCTGTTTGGTCTAAATCCGATGTCCGCCTGTTCCTTAGCCGCACTTTTCAAACATCCTTCTTTTAATGAACTATATATTTCCAGTTAACACCTGTAGCAGGCTCTCGTTTGTTGCTGTTTTGCATGGAGTCAACATCTTCACATTTTGCTTTAATTGTTGATAAGAGACTGACTCATAAAAAGAATAAGGCTAGAATCGTATCGTGTGCAGTTTAGATTTTTTGTAGCTGCAACTAATTTTCTCTGGCCAAGTCATACAGGAATTGCAAAATTTATTTCAAGTTGGCAGACATCCAATAAACTGTGGACTTGTTCTTGCAGGGGTATTACAGGCAGATGCCAATGAATTGGTCCGGTGTATAGTTTACTGCACTGGTTATAGTTTAATGTGTATACTCCTGCTATATCCCAACATCGTCAGTAACCATAAGTACATCGTGAAGTACTGTTTTAACTACGCCGAGCGTTGTAGAGCGGTGCTGTTTGGAATTTTCTTTATTTTTGTAGTAACTGAGCAAAAGATTTGTATTTAGCTGACATTATGTGTAATATATTTTTTTCTATTAGTCAGAAGGCAGGGAGAGGTAATCTGACGCTTTTATTAAACCTTTAATTTTTTCTTCCCGATAGTTTTTATTTTGTTTAGTAATGAGATTCTGTTTTTGCGTAAACGAGGTGTTACGTAGAACGGGCAGTGTGAATGACGTACTGTACCAAAAGTCTTCTAAAGTGATCGGTGAAATATGCTATTGGAGTTTGTTTGTCTTTTGTAGTTGCTGAGAGTCACTTTTAGTGGTTTTTTACTGCCATTAATGGGATACACTTAGTTGCCTACAAAACAGTGCAGTGGTCAACGTCTGTGTCCTATGCATACACAGTTTTTTACCTATTTGAAGACTTCAAATTGTTATAGCCTGCAAATTTTTGTGATCTTCAATTCTCTTTTATTTGAATAGTTGGTTTTTACGTCCTCTTCGTCAGTAGAATGCCGGCATAAAAAGCAGGTGAAAAACTTATTTAGCAAAACGTATTCAGCGTTACTGCAGTCAAGTGTGCGCAACCACAACCTGATTTTTTTCTTGTCACCAACCCACATTCATTTTGTGCGTTAGTTTCTCGGCTTTGCTCTACTCATCAAAATCACATTTTAAGTTTGGAGTTTAATTTCGCATCAGATTAAGAGAAAGGGAATAAAATAGAGTAAGGAAAAAGTGCTTAGATGTCTGGAAATCGGGATGATGCGCAGGTTGAAGGAAATGAAAAGGAAGAGGAGGTGTGAAAAAAGAACGTTTCAAAGTGAATAGCATAAAGTACATGTGGGGTTTCGTTTCTTTTCAGTCGTTTACGTTCGTCTCAATTTTCCTTATTTAACATAAAATGGGTAACAAAGATGAAAACATTTTGCAGCAAGATGTTGCATCCTAGTATTGGAAGTCCAGAAAGTGACTTGTACGAAGTTGAAAAAATTATTGGATTTCGGAAGAATGAGACAACTAATCGGAACGAATATCTAGTACGTTGGAAGGGATATGACAAATCTTTTGATAGTTGGGAAGCGTACAAGAATTTGGTACTAAATTTTTGTTTCTTGTACAGTTACTTCTCTTTTTTTTTTGTATTCATTATTAGTAAATGAATTGAAATGTCTTGTTTGCTTAAATGATTGTATTTTCGTGCAAATCTTCGTCAGTACTTAGCAGTCGTTATGTATATTGGTCTTTTGCTTCTTTCATTTCATATTGCTATTTGGTTTTTAAGTCAGAATCACGTCAAGGTTGGAGCATTCAGAAAGTAACCGTAATTTAGCTTTTAGGACTTGTTTCGAGACAATTTTGAGAAATTTTTAAGAAGTTTGTTTTAGAAATCATGTACTTCAAAACTAGACGAGTTCTGTGACCGCATTCTGGAACGATGTGGTGAACAGTTAGTTGCTTTGCTTGAACTTTATTGTGCTTTTAAATGAGTTTATTCATGAATAAAGTCGATGGAAGTATTGTCACATTAGCTGTTTATCGTATTTTTTTCTGGTAGACATCGATCTAACTGTAAACGTCTCATCTGACCTTATAACTTTGCTCTTTTTGCTTTCAAATGAATTTATTCAAATGAACACTTTGGTTCCACTTTCTTCTCAACTCGGTAATTTAAAAATCCATTTCATACTGATTTACTATCTTCAGTGTACGGCACAGAGAGAAAACTGGTTCAGAATCCGATGATTCTGATCTTGCAATGACTTCTAGTGACGATGAAAAAGAAAAGCGAGTGAAAAGAGGTAATGTGTTTACTACAAGTAAATTAAAATGGAAAAGGAGCTTATTTTCGCACTTACTTGAATAAGTTGTTGCATCTTTACAGTTTTCCCCCGGAAAGAGGAATCAGGTATGGCCTTAGGATGGCGACCGAGAAGGATATTAGGTTGGAGGGTAATTTTGCTAAAGTATTTTAAAGCCATAGTCAGTGGACCTCTCGGAACTTTTTGAGTTCCCACCAAACTGTTGAGCAAGATTTAGTGGATTGCTTACGAGTAAACTTATAGTAACAAGGCGAAGCCATAGCAAGGCATCGTGGGCAGACGCCTTTTTTGCAAGTTTTTCATTCCCACTTTGTCACCGTTCTGTCCCCCTAAAGTAGTAATTCTTAAATTAGGTAGTGTGGCGTTGTTACGGCTTTGTAGATTTTTGAAGTATTATGGGCGAAGATTTTCGATGCCGTTTGAGTAGTCTATCGTCAAAGATTAGTTTGAAAAATCAACGGGGGTTGCTGGAGTTGTGTGAAGTTGCTTTTCATAGTGAGGCAGTGACACGAAAATTATGAAAAATATTGATTAAAACGTGGTCAAATAGATTCAGACGTATACATTGGATTTCGTAATGACATTCGTTTTTGACCTGGTAGGCGGCTTTTTGAACGGCTTTTTTCCGGTCATCACTTGCGTTTATTTTGAAATTGCATAGACAGTACACTACCGTTTAAACAAACTTAGTCTTGTTTTTATGCTCCTGTAAACGGAATTATTATTGTATGATAAAAATATACAGTTATTCTAGCGGTCTTCTGGTCATGATACTTATTTGGTGGAGTATAAACACAAAAGGCAAGTGGAACATATATCAGCATCCTATGTTACTAGAAAGTATCCGAAGGTATATTCTGTTTTGTATCCGATATTTTCTCATTTGGTTCCTCTAAGGACAGAACTGAAATCCTTATTTCACTCTCGAAAGTATATATAAAAATAATTTAAATTGTCAATTATAATGGCTTTTTCAGTTGGTCAGGAAGTTCCATGACAGTATTGGGAAGCACTATCTACACCGGTCTCACTCGGAATGAATGTCCTCTGGTTCCAGATTTATTTGTAGATTTGTTTTTTTGATCTCATCATCCTTAAATTGTGCCTTCGAAATTGGGGGTTTTGTGTCTTTGCCTTTTCATTAAAATTTGTATATTCGGTTTTTTGTCTTGTATTTCTAGTTTCTTACTATCTTTTTCAGCTTATATGTGTCAAAATTACAATCGTCCTTGATTAGTTCTCATGGGAGAACGGTGCACACTATTCACTTATTTCAGATATCTCTTCATATGTAGGTCTATACGGCTTAACGACGATGTGGTGCTCTTGAGATTTATTACCAAATCCACCATAACTTTTTTCAGTGCATTGGGTTTTCCTTTATTTGCAGATATTGATCAAATTGAATGAATTTTTGTAAGTTATGGTTTTTCATAGCAATGAATTAGTACTTTGAAGACGACATGACTATTTAAAGACAACCGTTGCTGAGAAGAAATTAAATAAAGGTTTACCATGAAATTCAACTTTTGGTATCTTGTCAACTTGGAAGAGGGACGAAGGTGCAATTTGAAGTTTCTCGTTGTTTTTTTTAGGTGCCTCTGGTTACTGAGAACGGTGCTGGTGAGTTCTAGATTTCGAAGTTAGGCATTTTCGGTTAATTCTAGCTGCTGTAGAAAATGGTCCTTTAATTATACGCGGTTAATTGTCACAGTCGTAGTTTGACGTGGCAGAAAAGATTGTAAAGGTGGTTGGACAAGATGTTATGGTTTTAACGCTCGGGAAGACTGGATGGGAAACTGTGGTTATCGAGAG